GCTACAAAGTTTGTTCAAATGAATGACCTTCACCCATATTCAAGGTCACAGGGGTCAAATATGTTAAAAACTTTAAACAACTTCTTCTGAATAACCAAAATGCCCAGGGTGATGATATTTAGTCAGTAGCATACTTGGATCAAGGGCTACCAAGTTTGTTTAAATGTATGACCTTGAATCATATTCAAGGTCACTAGATGCAAATATGTTCAAAATATTTAAACAACTTCTGATGAATAACCAAAAGGCTCAGGATGTTGATATTTAGTCAGTAGCATGCTGGGATCAAGGACTACTATGTTTGTTAAAGTGAATGACATTGAATTATATTCAAGGTCACAGGGGTCAAATTTGTTTAAAATCTTTAAACAACCTCTTCTGTATAACCATGGGTCCCAGGATGTTGATACTTTGCAAGTTGCATCCTGAGATGAAAGGCTATAAAATGTGTTCAACATAATGACATTGTTCGATTTTCAATAATAGGGGTGAAATGTTTAAAAAAAAATTAACAGGTTCTTTTGAATGAATTTTAATCATAAATACTGATATTTTGCCTGTAGCTTTATTTTAGATCACTTTTTAGGTTACAAGTGTGAGATTTTTACCAGGTGAGCGATGCAGGCCCATTGGGCCTCTTGTGGTAGGTGGGAAGTATTCAAAGGAGAAAATAACTGCCCTAGCAGCTAGTACGGTGCATGTATTCTTCCGGATAGCCGGTTAAAAGCTGAAATGGAATCGACAGAAATGCTGTTTATGTTATGAATAAATATCTAAAAATACTAACCTCGCTTGTATCTTTGTGTAAGTTGGAACACAGATGAACTTATTTTGTTATGTTAATGGGCATGTATGGGAGACAGTTTACTTTGCGATTCTATGTACAGTTGACTGGTTAGTTTGATTTTGCTATGGGGCCCTCCAAGGGATAACTGTTGTGATGTTCTGTTCTCCCCTCTGTCGATACTTGTGGTCACTTAAGATGAGATGCACGCGCAGATTTCATCACAGAATTAGATTACTATCTAAGTCCGCAGTTTCATAGGGCAGTGAAAAATTAAGTTGCAGTTGCCTAACGGACCCTCACTGGGGGCCCCTTTGGAAACTTTGCATCTCTGTCAGACCACCTGTGTTTACTGCCTCATTTCCAAACAGTTACCTGACGTTATTGGCGCTATTTTAAAAAGGGCTTTCCCAAACAATTCAAGTGGTCAAACTGGACATTTGGAAAGGACTATGAATATGGGGATAGCAAGGTAACATAAGTGGAAGTGCATACAACACATTTATTCGTTAAAAAGAATGTGGCTCTTCACGTGATGTCCCTTTAAAGTACAAATCTAAGCAAATTTTTCAGGAACATCTTGTCCTGGCTGTACCTTTTAAATCCTTAAGATATCTTGATGAAACTTGAACTATACCTGCATCACCCACTGGCCATAGACGACGTGCAATGCGCTGTCATTTGGACATTGTGACCTTGACCCCAAAGGTCAAATATGTGCAAATTTTTGAGGAACATCTTGTCGGGGTTGTAACTTTTAAAGCATTAAAGATTTCTTAACGAAACTTGTAGTATAACTTCATCACCTACAGATGATGTGCAATGCAGTGCCATTAGGTCACTTTGGACTTAACCTCAAGGTCAAAGGTAAAAAAGTCTGATTGTTTCAAGCATTTAAAGGTTGTCAAGGTGATGCCAACGGTCCCTCACTGAGTCTAATTTTGCTTAAACTTAGAATGCAAGTATATGATGTCATTGTTAACTCTATCCATGTATCATTTGCAACTATTGGGTCAATTTTGAGGACTTCTGTAATGGTCCCTGTTACAAATACAATTTGTTCATATATGGATTATTAGCTCTCCTGATCCAAGGTGAGCTTATGCCATACCGTTCCATCCGTCGTCCAAACGTCAACAATTTCTTTAAACGACTTCTTCTTAACCACTGATTGGAATTCAACTTAATTTGACTGGAAGCATCCCTAGGTGGTGGGGATTCAAAATTGTACAAATGATGTGGCTGATCCCCCAGGGGGCTGAGAGGCGGGGCCAAAAGTGGTCAATTTGGCTATATTGCTTTAAACGACTTCTCTGGAACTAAGAAGTGGATATCAACCATATTTGAATGGAAGCATCCCTAGGTGGTGGAGATTCAAAATTGTACAAATGGTGGGGCTGACCCCCCAGGGGGCTGAGGGGCGGGGCCAAAAGGGGGCAATTTGACTATATTGCTACAAACAACTTCTTCTGTAGAACTATGCACTGGTTATCAATCATATTTGATCAAAAGCATTCATGGGAGGTAGGGGTTCAAAATTGTACAAATGGTGTGGCTGACCCCCCAGGGGGCTGAGGGGCAGGCCAAAAAGGGTTATTTGGCTATACTGCTTTAAGTGACTTCTTCTCTGGAACTAAGATATGGATATCAACCATATTTGGCAGGATCTCTGGAAAGAGACTACAGAGCCAACAGAACGGCCATCATCTCGAGCATGTTGATGTGCTCTGAGATCTGTTCCCAAGACCACTCCCCCGACCGACAATGCTGTTGAGGTAAGCTCACCACTCCGTCATGGACGCATCCGTGTACAGGGTCATAGTGGGAGCAGGCTTGGACAAAGGAACCCCTTGGAGAACATTGTCCTGATGAGTCCACCAGCTTACAAACTCCTTGACTGACTGGTTCAGAGGAAGCCAGGCTTTCAAATCCCTTGAAGAAGGAACCAGTTGGCAAGGAGAAACATCTGGAGAGGCCTGATGTGAAGTCTCCCTAAAGGGACCACATCTGCCAGGGCATTGAGATAACCCAGAAAACTGAGAAACTAATGTTCCTGGACCTGAGACTGACTGATGAAGGCAAGAGCGGAATGGCGATGCCCTGAACCTTATTGAAACGGTCCCCAGGAAATTGAAAGGAAGGAATGAAGTCGACCTTGAGTAAGACTTTCAGAACCAACCGGGTGTCCTGCACCAGAAACTCTTACTAGATCGAGCATGAGTGAATCGTCAAAATAGATGTGAACATCTATCCCTCGAGAGTGCAGGAATCCCACGACCACCTGCAGCAGCTTGGTGGAAACAAAAGGTGCAGTCGTGAGCCCAAACGGCATGCTGGCCTGGAACTGCACGTAAAACGGAGGTACTTCAGTGCCGACTTCTTGATGTGGATGTGGAAGTAGGCGTCCTTCAAATCTACTGAAGTCGCCCACATTCCATCTCTCACTGAGGCGATAATGCCCCGAGGAGTCTTGAAGTGAGGAGAATCTACGTGCCTGTTGAAGGCACTTAGATCTATAATGGGACCCCACGCCCCGTACTTCTTCCGAATCAGAAACATTCTGGAGAAGAAACCGGGGGTACATTCCGACATAGGAACCTCCTCGACCGCGCCCTTGGTAAGCGTGGTCCTTACTTCCTCCTGGAGCGCCAGAGCATGTAATTTTCTTCCACTCTGGGAGGAAAGTGGAAAGATGGCCCACCACAGGAAGATCTGGTCAAGGCAGGTCGAGGCAGGTCAAGACCTTGCCAGGCAAGTGAACCGTCTGCCGACCCGAAGCCTTATCCTAGGGGAGAAGGACCTAAGTTTGAGCAGGGAGGACTGCACTTCCCCTGGACAAACCCGTCATCTGACACGACCAAGGAGGGGAAAAAGAGAGTCGGGAACCCTTCTTCTTACCCTCAGGAGGGTTCTTAAAATCCTTCTTACCTTTCTCTTTGTTGCCCTTGAAGGGAGTCTTATACTTGGGCTGCGCAGAAGACTGCAAAGTGGAAGGTTTAGCCTTCTTCATAGGAGGTGCTGACCCCTGGAGGTACTGGCCTTCTCAACCTGAATCCTCTTCACCAGAGGTGACTGAGTCCTCCTTCGAACCCTTCTGAACAGAAGGAAAGGCCCCTCTAAAAAGAGTTGACCCTGAGAACTAGACAGTGAAGGGAGGGTTATACTTGGGCTGCGCAGAAGACTGCAAAGTCGAAGGTTTAGCCTTCATAGGAGGTGCTGACCCCTGGAGGTACTGGCCTTCTCAACCTGAATCCTCTTCACCAGAGGTGACTGAGTCCTCCTTCGAACCCTTCTGAACAGAAGGAAAGGCCCCTCCAAAAAGAGTGGACCCTGAGAACTAGACAGTCAACAGCCGGGAGCTGTAAGGTTCATCGACAGGAGGGTTTTTCAAAACTGAAAACTGCCTAGCCAACAACACATTGACAAGCGATGACAACTGTAAAGCCTCGTTCAGGGCAGAGGTCACTCTGTCATGGATGTCAGGCTGCTCTGTCTCAGTAATCTGACCCTCAGGCAAGATGGATACCCTATATAGACCAACCGTCAGGTAGTCTATTTAAGACAGAATTTGGATGGAGATATGCAGCAGTCTCCCCATCTTGTGGTGTTCTTTGGGGCCAAACACCACCTGTTCCACCGATTTGCCTCGCCAGAC